TCAATGTCTTGCCACTTAATTTGCAGACAATACAAGATGCAACGCTGGATTGACATGACCTGCATCTAATGGTTGACACGCGACTCTGCGGTTTGGGGAAGCAAGACCTATGAAAAGTAAAAGTGCATCTTTCACAGTACACGATTTCCGATTTATTTGGCTCGCTACCACATTTCACACACCATGTTGTGTGAGCTGAAATGAACTTTTTGTCATACTTTCTAGTAGGAACTGTGGGTGTGACCAAAACGTCCCTGATTATTTGTCGTCTAACAGGTTTCTCATAATCGGAAGAGCGTACATAATGGGTTTCAATTTTTTTGCTTTTGACCACTTTGGAACGTCGACTTCTTCGCCCAGATACATGGTCGTTATCCTCAGATTCATCTTCGGATTCATCTTCAGTTTCGTCCTCACTTTCTTCATCACGATCGCGTAATTTACTTGCAACCCTTTTTGAACGTGTTTTCGCGTTATCTGAGTGAGAATCCTCGGTCGTCGAACGTGAAATAGCAAAATCAGAAACTTTCATTCGCTTTTTCTTCTTTTTCTTGCTATCACTGTCTGAAGGATCCATCTTCTTTCTTTTAGAACTCTCAGTAACACCGCGACTTGCATAATATTGTTCATCAGAATAATTGATCGCTTTAACTTCCCTTCTCGACCGTGTAAGGATCGTCGTGTCATCAGATGAAACCGACATGGAATCAACCTCAGAATCTATGGTGCTTTCAGAACTTTCGGAATCTAGACTTACTCTCTTCTCATCGCTCTAATGTATCCAAAAGAAAAATGAACTTTTGAATTATTGCATCACATGAGGTAACATATGCTTTAATCAAATCGATAATAACCTCAGAAGCTGAAAAATCACTATCCCCTAAATTCTTATTACGTTCTTTTCCCCGAGAACTACTGGCGACAACTGCCCTTCTTGAAGTATGTTGAGTTCGTTTTCTATTTCCTTGCGCCTTAGTTATCATTATTACTGCTTAAGGATAGTCTATGAACGCGGGGATCAAAACAAAAACAAACTATTAACGTTTTTGCAAAGACAAGATGAGACACAGTTGATGTTCCGAACGTTACAAGCCACACAAGTCAAACTTGGTTATTAGCGAATGTAGTGACAGGACAGAAATAAGCAAAATAAAGTAACTAAGGCTTTCAAAGTGCTCTTGCAAAAACTTACGACTTGGAAAACAAAAGCTACAGTAAAAGACAGTTGCCTAAAGTGGATCATCATAAACCTTTATGTGGAGGAAAGTAACACAAAAGTAGCACGGTACTTCAAAAAAACAAATCACATGATTTCAATAACTAATGTAATGATAGACTTTATAAATTTGGCATGACATTTCAAATTACATCATGTCCCCACTGTAAGTATGTGTCAAGGAGACAAAAGGTCTTATCTGGATACGCGTATTTTATAGATTTCAAAATCTCATTGATACATGTGATGCGTCTAATCTCTGTTTTCCATTGATGCATGAATGTTGATTTCCGGAATTTAATGTCATGTGATCAACCATAAACTCGGAATGATTGATGCCCGGGTAAAAAATTAAATGTTTCCTTAAAAATCCTTAAAATCATTTAAGAGTCTTATCTTTATATTATTCAAAGACTCGAGATCAATTATAGCACTTAGTATACAGGCATTATTAATAAATGGAATATACCGAGACAATCTTTCCGTTATACTTTCCAATAATATATTTTAAAACAAGGCCAAATTACTGTAATGTCAAGAACATTATGGAAACTCGCATTTTGGCAAACTAAACCCCTATTACCGGATATTTGTTCCCTATAAATATCACCACGGCACAATTCGATCAAGCAACGGAATTACCTGATTAACCTAACCCTTTATGGAGATGACTTTATGCGCACATGGCAGCAAATGCATTGTGAAATCGGAAAATTTTTGTAACACGGTACCGAAAAGCATCCAGTACGCTCTTTTTTTAAAATTAGTCACGCACCATTTAATCATTCAATTGATAACGAACTTTTCTTGTTTGTTATTATTCTTTACCCCTATTTATGTGATAATGAAAGAAAGTTATGTATTGAAGACCAGAAATTATTAGACCCTGCATCTAAACAATAACATGATATACCTCATCTGAAAACTCATAATTTATTAGAAAATTAAATATTCTTATATCTTGCAAAGAAAAACTATTACTGACATCCAGATTTTCTCGGATTAAAATACAACATAACAATTTTATTTCGCCTGGGAAGCCTAACGTAAGGCAAAAATAAAATAATATATGTTTTTTTCTCTTCACGTCGAATAGTCTTCAACGATAGATTAGGTATGTTTACAGAACATTATAATTCAAAAATGACTACGTATGTTTGATATCTCAAGCATAAAATCCTTAATGAGTCATTAATTATTAAGAAATTGTTACATTTGTAACAAATTAAAACGCTTATTGCATGATTAAAAATAAGGTCATGTTATTTAAATGTTTAATCTTTAAAAAATACATACAGTATATACAGTATATTATGTAATATATTAAAAATTTCAATGTATTTTTTATTTTTAGCCTAACTTGCATTTTTAACTATTGAAAGTATAATCAAGACTTGTGATATTTATTTATATTGG